TTCATCTATAAAAGGGGAATAATAGCATCTACCCTCACAGAGTTGTGTGAGGATGAAATGAAATGGCATATGGGAGGTACTCAAGAGAGTGTCTGGTACACAGCATGCTCTATACAAGTATTCATTATTATCACTGATACTATTAAAGCACCTTTGGAATTATAGTAGGTTCATACTTTTTATCTTCAGGAGTTTTTATTTCTTCCAGTTTCCTGAAAAACTTAAATGAACCAGGGAAACAACATCTGAAGGAAGCCTGTGTTAGCTTAAAAACCCGTCTACTAAAAATTCAGAGACTATACATATCAGGGCTCTCTAAAGTTAGATGAAGGGGGCACACATTCTTTCACAGCTCATATCTTCATAATACTTAAAAAATAGTCAAGTGATACCATTTCACATACAAAACAAAGGTCTAGTATAGTGCAGCAGTGAATAAATGGTCATTGCTATTTATCCCAAACACACTCAGGAGAAGCAGCAAATGTTACTGAGAAAATTATTAGTTCAGTTTTGGACATTCTAAATTCGAGGTGCTCACAGAATACTCAACAGACATTCCAGGAAGCGGGCAGAACTACAGACCTAAACATAGGTAGCTTATCCTCAGAAGAGTTCCTCATTCCCTCCTTTGTACTATCATGGAATTTTTCGCATCCTATTTCATTACAAATATTTGTCTCCTTCTCTACTGCTAGACTATACGCCTCTTGAAGGCATTCAGTTCCTGCCATATAAGAAGGACTCAGTAAATGATTTTTAGCTGGGCCCAGTGGCACAATCCTATAGTCCAAGCTATTTGGGAGACAGGGGCAGGAGGGTCACTTGTGCCTAGGAGTTCAAGATCAGCCTGGGCAACATAGAGACCCCATCTCAAAAATACAAAGGTAATTTTTTAAAATGCAAAAATTGTAGAACTGTACAATTTAAAAATGTATTTTATTATATGTAAGCAAATTCTGATTACATTTTTTTTTAATTTATGGATGTTAGATAAGGATGAAATTTTCATTTGGAAGAATTCTTACAATATAAAAGTAACATGTAAACAAGATTTTTTCAATGTTATTGCTATTTATCCCAAAAACTCCCAATTTTTAAAAACGTGGTGACATTATAATTAGTAAGCACTACTGAGCTGTGAAACCTGGCATCGTCATACTCAGGCCTGTAACTCTAAAAATGTACATGACAAGGCACGAAATATATAAATGGGTAAAGTAAGGAAGAACTCAATGAAGACTCTCAAAGTGCATTTAAATTACTTAAAATTCTGAAGAAGTTTGTTAAAATACCTGTAATGTCGATGAAAAGATTTCATTTTCAAATTTACAGGCTGCTTGAGTTCAATAACCTAAAAAGGAAAAACCTCTGGACCATTCCAGTACAGGTTATTCAAAGGAGCTGTGATAAACAGCATATAGCAAATATGCTCAGTTATATGCACTAGGTAAGGCACAACTGCTATCATCCCAACCCACTAACACTTGTTAGACTACTAATCCTTTCCTTTGAAATCTGTAAGAAGAGGCCAGGCACGGTGGCTCACGCCTGTAATCCCAGCACTTTGGGAGGCCAAAGCAGGTGTATCCCTTGAGGTCAGGAGTTTGAGACCAGCCTAGCCAACATGGTGAAACCCCATCTCTACTAAAAATACAAAAATTAGCCTGGCGTGGTAGCACATGCCTGTATTCCCAGCTACTTGGAAGGCTGAGGCAGAAAAGTCACTTGAGGCCGGGAGGCAGAGGTTGTAGTGAGCAGAGATCGGGCAACTGCACTCCAACCCGGCAACAAAACTAGATTCCTCTCAAAAAAAAACAAAAAACAAAAAAAACAAAAAAACAAAAAACAACAAACAAACAAAAAAAACTTCTGTTAAGAATGTTTCACTGGTGGAATTTACCACCCAAATTCAAAATACAGTAAGTTCTCCAAGGCTCTAATACTAGGACAGATTGGTTGCCAGTTCTATATTTAATAGCAGATCATGACCATTTCATTTGTGCTTGACAACTAGACAACTTTCAGTGAAACCATTCCCCAGAAATGACACTACAATATTGTTACTTATTTAGAGGCCAGGGACCCAAAAGAACAACAACTCATTAATAGTGAATGGATGGGGAAGGCAGCAGCAGAGGATTGAAAAGGAGCAATATAAAAGGCTTAGAACCATGAACAGCAGCAGTAAAGTAGGGATTCCCAGAATGAAATTACTGTAACACAAAATAAACATAGCAGCATAAGTCCACACTTTCTCATTTGAAATACACATAAGAATTAAATATATATTGAGTCTAATTTTATACAATCAAAAGCCTAAAAATCTTGATAACAATAGAAATACTGGTAAATTTAAAAAGACTCTCCCAATTTTGGCCCTGTTTCCCTGTTCTATAAAGAAATTCATAAGGGGGGGGAAAACTTCAAACTATAAATGATGAATGTAACTATTAGGAACGGCCTCTCTATGAGGTCTGAAATAGAAGGAAAATGTACATTTCTTCCAGAGTTGTAGCCAACAATAACTTTTGCATTCCGAATCCAGCTTAGGTACATTGGTTGGGAAGATGTTTGCAAAAGTATTTAATAAGAAAGTGCTGAATTTAGCCTTTATTTTTTCTCAGTTTTTTAAAAATGGCCCAAGGTCCATCAAATGCACTAAACAGAAATTCTCCTAAGTATAAATGACAAAAGAATACTCTACAAGCTTTTAATTTAATTTTTAATTTTTGTGGGAACATAGTTTGGTTTTTTTAATATTTTATTTTTAATTTTGGTGGGTACATAGATTTTTTAATTTTTATTTTTAATTTTTGTAGCCTTCTTCTCAAAGACAACTGTCTTTTACAGATCAGAGATTATCAAACTTTTTCTGTAAAAGACCATATAGCAAATATTGTCAGTTTTACAGGTCATATAGTCTCTGTTGCAAATACTCAACTCTGGCACAGAGCATGAAGGCTTCAATAGACAACAGATAGATGAATAAGCCTGGCTATGGTACAATGAAAATGATATTTACAAAAATAGGCAGCAAGCCCATGGCCATAGTTTGTTGACTTCTGCTACAGGACATCTGTTTTTAACTTTACTAACAAGTATATTGTTTTAATAAATACTATAAATTTCGAAATAAGATGTCTGGGATTTGCTTTAAAACACTTCATTTTTTTTTTTAAAGGGAGAAAGGTAAGGAGAAAGGTTAAATAAGACTGGAAAAACACAATTATTGTTAAAGCCCAATTATGGATATATGGGTTTCATTACACTGTAAGCTTGAAAATTCCCAAATTATAAGTTTTAAAAATACAAGGTAAATCAATGAACCAGCTCTACAGAAAATGAATTTTTTCACCTTACTCTAAAACTTTTAAAACATGCTTAGTATTTTTAAACATAATTAACATAATACAACATAAAAGATTCTTAATATAAAGCCACTAAACTATAATGAAAAAACTTAAACTAATCCACAAAAATGTACATAAGCATAAACCCTTAAAATTCTCCATAATTTAAAATATAGGCTCACTTCATACAGTTGCTAAATATGTCACATTTATTGGCATCTCATCTGAAAGGTGCAATCAATTTTTGGCTTTAAAGTATTTTTATAAGAAATATATTATTTATATTAACATATAATAGGTTTATTACTTTTCAAGTTAATACATAAATGTCTTTCTTTTTAAATTCTAAGTAATTCTGGCAAACACGGGAAAACCCTGCCTCTACTAAAAATACAAAAATTAGCTGGGTGTGGTGGCACACCCCTGTAATCCCAGCTACTTGGGAGGCGGAGGCAGGAAAATCGCTGAACCCAGGAAGTGAAGGTTGCAGTGAGCCAAGATTGTGCCACTGCACTCCAGCCTGGGCAACAGAGTGAGACTCTGTCTCAAAAAAAAATTTTTTTTAATAATAAATTCTAAGTAATAAATATTAATAACTATAACCGTAATAAACAAATATTCTTCAGGATCTTCAATGATTAAAAGTATAAAAGGATCCTGAGGCCAAAAAGTTTGACAGCTCCTGAACTAAATGTTTTCAATATTGTATAAAGTAAGTTCATCATGCAATTACAAGACATATACTCAAACTCATTTTACCTTTTAACAGTAATCATCACATAGTGACATTAATTCAACTATGAAGGCTATCAATTTAGCCACAAGAGGAAGACACTTAAACCTTCAACAGAAATATTCTTTTAAACTACCTGATAAGTCATGAGTATGAATATGAATCCACAGGATAAGTCATGAATCCACAGGATAAGAAGAGCACTAGAATATGTGGTCCCCCATCTTATACAGACAATTGTCTCCTGAACCAATATAATGAAAAACTACCATGTGTCAAAAGACATTTCTAATAAATGTGCCACCTCTTATCAAATCAAGAGATGTAGTTTCACTTAATGCAAGAAACCAGAAATCAAGCTGAACAGAGTCTTAAGAAATCTTAATGACTCTGCAACTTCCCAAAGATTGAATACATCTGTTTTTTAAATGCTCTAAGTTTTCCCCAATGTTCTGAAACAGTGATTTCAAATATTATCAAAACTAAAAACTAACTTAAATTAGGCTTATTGAATTATTATGACAGTTGAGAAAAACTAAGACCTTCCACGTGAAAACATTCCAACCGTCCAAGAATATAATCAGTCTCAAAATTTCCTAAATCTATAAACTAGAATAGAAATAAACAATACATAACACAGACTCAGACAAATATTAGAGCAAATATGTCCACATAATTATTCATTCTATCATTTATAAAGATGAACCAATACTCATTTTTCAAATCCAGTACCACTGTAGCATTTTTAACCAATTTTGCCTCTACATACAGCAATTTAAAATGTTATCACAGTATTTCATTTTTACTTGATTAATAACAAATTATTCCCAAGTTTTATAAATGTTATGTCTATTGCCTTTCAACATGAATAAATTTAAAATAGTAATAGCAACAGCATGCAAGGATATACTTACATCATACTCTGTAATTCTGCTGCAAAGCTTATAGACTTCCCTGTATTCCTTCCACTACTTGAAGTTGCAGTAGACATTGGACTAGCTGCAGTATTATTCATCTAAATAAAAAGGAGAAATAAAGCTTACAAAATATACCTAGCTATAAGTAAATGCAAAAAAAAAAAGGAAGCAAATATAAATTATTTTAAAAACTAGAGAAAATTTAAATTTCTGATTTGCTTTGCATAAAACTGATTCACTTATACTTAATGTTGTTTATTAAAATGAAATAGCAAGGTGGAAAAAAACTAGTTAAGTAAGATGTCGGCCAATTACTCACTTCAGTGATAAATACTTTAGCACCTATTTTATGATAGGTAATGTAAAAACAGTATTTATTAACATATTTTACTAGAGCTAATTGGTTTTCAAAATGAGCTTCAGGGAGCCCTATGGTTCATCAGCAATGCTTCAGGGAGTTCCAGGTGGACCCCAAGCACAACACACCCCCAGTTTAAAACAGAACAACTCTGACTTTTCTAGTTGATATATGAAGGTTCCAAGTAAGATTTCATTTAAAGAAACAATTCCACAGCTGAAAGATACAAAATTAGAAAACTACAGCATAATCTAATTCCCATTTGAACAAAAGCCTAAAATACAAATAATATTGTCAATCAGTAGATCAAAAGCATTGTGATATTTTATAATCCTATGGGTAAATAACTTATTCAATTTAAAATGTGACATTTTCCCAATAAAATTAAGGTGACGCATAATGATAAATTGGGTGCCAATCCTAACGTATGCCATTTTATTTAATGCATTAAAAAAATTAGCAAGATTTAGTCAAAGTAACATTAAAATAATGTCATGAAAGTAGGTAAAGCCTCAACTATTATACTATTATACTGGAAGTGCTCAATAAACGTTAGTTATTATTTCATAAGCTTGTATAAACTTTGCAAAGCTGTAATTTTCCTTAAAATATTTTTTGCAGATTCTGAAGAAGAATGTAAGATATTTAACAACATATGAAAAAGTAAAACAGTGCAGAGGACTTTTAGTAAACTAAGAGGGCAGGTTCTGGAGTCAGACTGCCTAGATTTGAATCCCACCTCTGCTCCTTTGCTAAGACTTTGGGCAAGTTACCTAACTTCTCTGTGCTTCACTTTCCTCATCTGTAAAGGGCAATGATAATCTCACCTTCTTAGGGCTGTTGTGAGAATTAAATGAATACATACAAAAATTTAGAACAGCACTGACAGCACACAGTGAACACACAATAAATGTTAACTGTTATAATAAACAGACCTTAAGAACTCCCTCTTCCACGAACGGGGAAAATTAAGGAAGAAAAAAGAATTCCCCTTCTTGATCTGCTAAAAGCTTTTATATAAATTTAGATGTATTACCCTTTTTTCACAATCACACAAGTTTGTAAAACTTAAATATTTTTACTAAAAGACCTCTATGCAACTAAACAAATATTAAGTAGCTTCTTTGTAAGTTTAGTTTTCACTGACGACATCACTACGACTACTACTCACTTGGGCTCAAAATCTCAGTCACTACCTTGGACTCCTTCTCCTGCACCCTACAATTTGTAAAAAGTCAAGTAAATTCTACTTGCTGTATGTTCTCACATCCTTCCCCTCTTGTCCTACTGCTATGGCCCCCTAAAAACTCTTAATCTACATCTTCTATCTCCATTTCAGTTCATTCTCCAAACTGCAGCCAAATTTATCTTCTTAATACATCTTTCTAATCTAACAACTCCTGTGGGTAATGATAAAATTCATAAAGGGAACCTAAACCAGGGTCACTTAGCAAGGGCTGGGATGGAAGGGCTGGGCCCCACAAAAGAAGGACGGGGAAAAAAGCTACTACAAATCACTGATGGAGATAGGCCTTATATGAAGCTTTTGAGAAGGCAACAGGACAAAGATCTAAGGCAAGCAGCACACTAGCTAGGTGACTAGGTTTGAAATATACCAATATCCCTCTGGTCTAGTCTGAGGGCCCTAACAGCCAGGCCAAAACCACTATACCAAGAATGCAAGAGCACAAAACGAGAAGGAAAACAAAAACGTTCCACTCAAACTGAGCCTGAAAACCAAAATTCTAAAACATATGAAGAACTTAATGCTAAGAAACACCATCACATTTTTGAAGCCTAAATTTGTGCCATTGTTTAAAAAGACTTTTGGAGTAAGTACTTTCTCTACAAATAATATAGGAAAAGAAACATAACCATTTGAGACTTGGATTAAAAAAAAAAAAAATCACAAGTCCAAGACTGGGAGAAAATAGGAAACCAAGGACTTCCATAAACAGTCCTGCAGAATTGGGACAAAATGCAAAAAAAGGGAGCCTGGATTTCTCAAAGACCTCAGAAAATGTTCCCTTGTTGTCCCAATAGAAGGCTGACAGAGCTATCTGGGACAACATGTTAAACTCAAAAATTAAGTAGTAACCCCAGCCTCCAGAATGTTATGATCTGAGTTGACTCATCAGATTTGACAGACATGCCATTCCATGGGATTATCCATCCTATGGTCAAATGTCCTGAGACATTGCTGGAGCAATCTGCTCCTTTTTCATTTTCAAATCCAGTCACCCAAACCTAGTTTATTATAACCATGATCATCCTTTCACAGTCAAGTCAATTTTTATATCAAACAGGTAAATAACATTTTTCTTGACATGATGAGCTGATAGCTCATTAGACTCTTTAAAATAATTATTTCCCATACCCACATTCTGTTTGATTTAGATAATTAACTTCTTTTGACATTAACTTCTTTACACATCAAAGTCCTATCATTCCAATGCTCTATTTCCTTTCTTCTAGACATTAAAAAAGAAAAGTCTGTTAAAAGCAGAAGCACTCAAGTCAATTTTCACTAATAAATACAGTTACCGTGGAACTGAAAACCTACTGTAATCTTCTCAATGGGTTAATGTCCTGCAGTTGTTTCAGCTTTCAATTGAAAATGCATCTGTTTGCCATATTTTACAAAATGAATTCAGATGTGCAGATTGGGACCTAGATTATTTCAACATGCCAGAGTTTAAATGTGAACCCAAGGAATAAGTTCATATCTGATTAATAGTATTTAAACCTGATCATTAAGCTAATAGCGAATACTATAACACACCTGTAAAACTGTATTCCGGAGAAGAAAATTTGGCATTTATCTTTTAATTTAAAATTATGGAATTTAAGGATACACCCCTATCCTTAGAAAACACTGCTATCAAAAAAAAAAAGTTTTAATTGTAGTGAAGTTAATCACAAAAAGTAAACTAAACAAAATGCAATGAATATGCTACTGGGTTTCTAGTTAGATCTCATATTTTGGGGGACTAAATAACCACAGAAGAAATACCATGAAACATCTTTAAGCTTAAAAGACCTCAAATTGTCGAGAACCTTACTACTAGTTTCTGCACCCTCCAAACATCATCAAAATCTGGACTGTGAAAACTATCAGTCAACCCATTAATTAAAAGAGAGAAGTTTTAATCTTATCTTCTATACTGCTGAAGAAAACTATTTCAGCAGACCTATGTACTGATTTTGAGCATCTACAGTCTCAATTCTAATGATAACCTGAACATCCCACATAATATAAATTAATAGAAAACTTTTATAATTAGAATATTTTTATTTTCATAAAATTCCAAAGGCAGGAAGCAATTACGGTTAAGCCAACACTATGATACACTGCGTTTTAGTTTTGTTGTTTACAAAAAATCAGGTTACATCATGATCTAAATTTCTTCTGTTGTGAAAAATAATACCAAATGGTCAATCACTGAGAATGCAAAAAATTAAAAATTAAATACATAAAATATCTATAAAAATGTCTAGACCTAGTGTTCAGAATAATACAATGGTAATCTCAGTATAGTAATATATGCCCCATTTTAAGTGGACTTTGGAAGGTATTAAAAAGCCTGGTTTATAAACTTACCTCAAATCAGTCCCACCTGACCTTGCCAGCCTCCTTTTCTACAGCAGTCAAATCAAACTTTCCCCATCTCCAGAACCATCCCATGTTCTTTTGAACCTTTACCCCTATAGCTCTCTCTACTTGCCATACCTTTTGAAACAATACAGTATCTGTCAACCTATCCAAAATCTATTGCCTAAGCCCATCTCCAAGAAACCTTCCCAGATATGTAAACAAAAGAAATTCTTTCTCTGACATCTAATTATTTTAGTTTGTATTAGTTTAATATTAAATTAACTACTTTACTGCATACTAATTATTTTAGTTGAATAAGCCTCTGTCCCACAGTGAATCCCTACCCCAGCTATGGACAGCTGACATCATCTTCTACTTCCAGAGAAACAAAAAGCTATCATTTAGTCATTCCCTCCACTCTCCTCCACCAAAGACAGTGTATCCTCCTCCCTTAATTCCCTCCTCTTATAATAAAGACACCCTCTTATTTAAAGCTAACACCACCAGTGCTTTGGATTCTTCATACCTAAGAAGGGCACCTACTACAGGCCAAACACTATTCTAAAAGGTAGGGATATAGTAGTGACTAAGTCAGACAAAAAAAAATACATTATAATGCAAGAGACAAGCACATAAACAAATATAATTTGAGGAAATAACAAATACTATGAAATAAGAAAAACAAGTTGATTTCAACTAGGAGGTGGCATTTAATATAAGATCTGGAAGGGAGCTCTGGAGAACTTCCCAACAAAAAGAACAGCAAAGTACCAAAATCCTGTGGCCAGTGTGGCTAGAAAGACATGAACGCAGGGGTAGCAAGAGGGCAGATCTTATAAAGCCTTTAGGCCACAGGAGTTTACATTTCACTTAAGTGTAATGTGAAGCTATTAGAGAATTTTGAAAAGGGAAGTTACTTGAAATGTTTTAGGTTTTAAAAAGATAACTCCAGCAGCGGGGAGAATATACTATACGGAAGCAAGAGTGCAATCAAGACCAGTTAGGAAGTTACTGAGGTTGTGTGCAGACAAGAGATGACAGTGGCTTGAATTAGTTTAACAAGTGGAGATGATGAGAAATGGTCAGATTTCTGGAACATATTTTGAAAGCAGAACTGATTTGCTGATGGATTACACGTGGGGTGTGAGAGAAGCGCAGTCAAGGATGACTGAATTCTGGGGCCTCAGAAACTGGTTGAATGGTGGTGCCATTTACTGAGATCCAGAAGACTGGGAAGGAAAAAAAAAAACAGTTCAGTTGGGGCTATGTTAAGTTTGAGACAGCTATTAGACATTCAAGTGGAGATTTTAAAAACCTGCAGAAGCTTTGTGAGAGATGTTGTCAAGCAGAAAACTGAAATAAAACCCATGGTCACAAGATTTTTGTTAAGAAGGATAATTAATATAATAGAACTTTGTATAAGGATATAAGGATCAACTAATCTCATAAGTTCAATTTCTCTGTCAGGAATAATTTGTCTCACAGGATTGCATATAATGGGCACTAAAAAAAATCTGAACTGAAAATATCAAAACACCCTGTAAACGTGAAAACTACCCCCATCCTTTCTCTCTAGATGATAAACAGCTAAAACTGCAGCATTACATATCCTACATGAGCATCTTTTGGAACTAACAGACACCGGAGCCCAGTGATAGACTGCTACAAGACACAGGAGTTTCTAGTATATCTTTCTTCTTTAGTCTCATATTCAGTTTCTATTCCATATGCTTTCATATCCAGTACTCTCACAGAAAAATTGAGTTTAAAAAAAAATTCTTTGCAAAAACAGTCCCTAAAGTACATTGCAAATGTGCCTATCAGATTATCCTTAAGCCCTGACAAATGGTACATAGCACACTTACTTTTCCAACACTAAAACACTGTTGTTTTTACTCAAACTTCATAATAGAGTTGCTTAATGGTTAACTTTTGAGATATGTGGAAGATTTTGGCACCAATTACACTCCTAACAGTAAGAGGTAAGTGTATTTGACAAAGATGTCAAAAAATAAGCAGCTCCCTTAAAAATCAACACTCTCTTCCAGTCGAGAGTCACATTTTAAAATATTAAAGCTTATGAGAATTCTGCATTAAACAATTTACAAAATATCTGATGTGTTTAAAAACACAGTTTACGTGACCAAAAAGAAAAAGGAATGGGGGATTTACTGTACGCATGTAAAAAACAGATGAATTTGGAGTTTATAAAGGGTGTTTCACCTGTGTTAGCTCACTTTTTTTTCTTCCCCCACAATTACCCTACAAGAGAAGTATTCTGCCTCTACCAACTAAGACTGGCTGAAGATCACAAATTCAGTAAACAACAGGCTTTGATCCCAGATAGCTGATAATCTGAAATATTCAGGCCATTTAGATATACTATGTTTTAATAAAAATCCTCTCATTTTAGTGCCTTAGTTTTTTCATTAGTAAAAGATCTCTATCTCCTAAAACACTAAAATATTGTGAAATTACTGAAAAGTTGTAAACATAGCAGTCAGGGGACTTACATAGTCATTAAGTTTTCTTGGAGACTGATGACTTTAAACACTCAGTTAAGAAATTCTTCGTTTAAAAGAAAATCTTAGGTAGATGGATAAGCAACTGTAACAGACAAATATATATGCAAATTGGTGGGAGGGAACCAAAGACATCTGAGCAGACTTCAGAGCTACAGTTTGAAAATCACTAATTTCCTCCAAATCCCTCATTTTTCAGGTGAGGAACTGAAGTCCAGAGGGGTTTCTTGAACTGCCCAAGGACACACTACTATTTAGTGATACAAGCTGGGACTAAATCTGAGGTCCCCCGACACCTGGTCCAGAGTTCTTTCTACTATACAACAAGGAATATACAAATAAAAGTTTATCATAACTAACCCACAAGGCCTCCACAATGTGTATGTCACACTGAACTGTGTTGTGAAATATTAATATCTGCCTATGCCAAACCACAATGGGAGCAGTAAAGAGCTAGGCTCTGGAGTTAAATTATAGGCTCTAACACTTACACATGACCTTGGGCAAGTTATGCCACCTCGCTGCCTCAGTTTCCTCATCTCTAAAATGGAGATTAATTACTGCTCTCCTAGGTTACATAAAATAACATATGTACAGCCCTTAGGAAAGTGCCTTGTACATATCAGGCGTTTAGTTCATGCCAACAATGATGATGAACTCAAGCAAAAGCAAAGCTTCTTGAAAATATATCACAAAAGATTATTGTTAAACATGTATATCCTCAAAGAATGTTATGACTAATAAAGACTAACATGAATACCGTGAAATATATAGAATTCAGTCATAAAACCACTATAGCATTTAAATCGCAAAAATACATTTCAAGATTTTTTAAATGATTTATATTTGTATGTTATTTTAGTTAATATAGTCACATAAATTATTTCAATTTACTTGTCCTGTGAATTCAACAGCATCTTTTCAGTAACTCCTACCTACTATACACCAAACAGTGTACTATTTTCTTTTTATTTTGAAACAGGGTCTCTTTCTGTTGCTCAGGATGGAGTACAGTGGCACAATCTCAGCTCACTGCAGTCTCCACCTCCTGGGCTCAAGCAATCTTCCCACCTCAGCCTCCCAAGCAGCTGATACTACAGGCACCAACCACCAAGCTCGGCTACATTTTTTTTTTTTTTTTTTTTTGAGACGGAGTTCTGCTCTGTTACCCAGGCTGGAGTGTAACGGCACAATCTTGGCTCACTGCAACCTCCGCCTCCAGGGTTCAAGCAATTCTGGTGCCTCAGCCTACTAAGCAGCAGGTACATGCCAAGACATGCAGCTAATTTTTGTATTTTTAGTAGAGACAGGGTTTCACCATGTTGGCCAGGCTGGTCTCAAACTCCTGATCTCAGGTGATCCACCCGCCTAGGCCTCCCAAAGTGCTGGGATTACAGGTGTGAGTCACTGTACCCGGCCCAGCTAATTTTTGTTTTAAATTTTTTGTAGAGACTAGGTCTCATTATATTGCCCTCACTCTTAGGCTCAGGCAATCTGGACATGTCTTAGCCTCCCAAAGTGCTGGTATTACAGGCATGAGTCACAGAGCCAGCCACTATTTTCATGTTCATGATCTTATTTAACCTTCACTACCCATTAACTAAGGGCCAGATATTTTCAAAGGGAGAACTACAGTACAAAAAAGCCTGACAGACCCATTCTAGAAAGTAAGAGCCTCATTAGTATAACCTATTCGGTGGGAATATGTTTGGATAAATGAGATACAATGGAAAGAACACATCAAGTAAGTGCCCAAGAAAATGTTCGTTCTTCCTTAGCAGTATGGGGTTGTTTTCTGTAGAGAAAATATTGTGACCAGATCAAAAAAGCACCATTACTGTGACTTAAAATATTATTTGTTTTTTTTGTGTTTGTTTTTTGAGACAGAGTCTCACTCTGTCACCCAGGCTAGAGTGCAGTGCACGTTCTCGGCTCATAGTAACCTCCGCCTTCCGGGTTCAAGAGATTCTCCTGCCTCAGCCTCCTGAGCACCTGGGACTACAGGCATGCACCACCATAACCAGCTAATTTTTTGTATTTTTAGTAGAGATGGGGTTTCACCATGTTGGCCAGGCTGGTCTCCAACTCCTGACCTCAAGTGATCCGCCCACCTCAGCCTCCCAAAGTGCTGGGATTACAGGCGTGAACCACCACACCCGGCCTGTGACTTACAATATTATTTGTAAAAGAGAACTGTCTTCGGTAATGGTGCCTATTATACACTATCTATGCTGTTACACAAAATTTGCGGAACAACTTCTGCAGGTCACTCTTTAGTGGAGGCTGTAGGTAGACAAGACAAAACCAATTCAATATAAAAACGTTTGTAAGGACGACAATTTTTAAACGTAATTCTCATTTGATGCCACCAACAGTCTTACGAGAAGGTGGGATGAGGTTGGGTACTAACCCTATTTTACTGATAAGGAAATTGAGGCACCGATATTAACAAGTTAAATACCTTAACTGAAATGACA